GGAGTGCAATAACTTTCTAAAAGCCCAAAACCCTCAACCCGATTTTGGCGTGCCTGGGAAAAGCAACCCTGCTGTTGAAGGCTTGCGACTTATGGCGCTTCGTCATCTTGGGGTCGTTATATAAATAACTAGGTACCTCATTATCAAACACTACCTGAGTAATGTGGTTGAACCCAGTAAGATAATGTTCCTCATATAAAATATTGTACCCTTACTGTAGATTATATTGGGTACCATAGTATTCCCAAAATAAAATACTACTCACCTGGGGTTCAGCGTTTCCCACCCAATCAAGAGCACATAGTTACTACCCAGGAAACATGCAGGGGCCGCTTTTAGAAGGCCATGGACTAATCATGGGTTCTCCTACCAACCTGCCTTTTCTACCTTTTTGTACTACCTCCTAGGTTCCTTTTTAGTTAGACTTGCTGAACCCCAAATATCCCCAAAGGGGAATCCTGGAAGGGGGTAGTATTCATCCTACGCCAAACCCGAAACCCCCGGCCCTCAACCCTGAACCCCTAAACCATACACTAGGAGAATGATGGTCGTTCAGGGAGTGGTTCAGACAGCTAGCAATCCTGATCCTCCCTAGTACCCCACACGTTTCTTTCTAAGATTCCCGCGCCATCCCGTAAACCCTAAACCCTGAAGCCTAGACCCTAAACCCTGACCCTGAACCCTAAATCCTAGACGCTGAGCCCTAAACCCTAAACCCTAAACAGTAGTTTCCATTTTCTTTTCCATTATCCCCCGCAAACCCCAACCCTATATACCCCATTATAATAGTAAATCCTAAACCCAAATGGCATGATGAGAGCTTCACCGAGGCTCGAGCTTAGGCAATGCAGAAACCATTGACCGTGCCTGCGATTTTTATGGGTTAGGGTTTTAATGTTTAGGATTTAGGGTTCAGGGTTTTAGGGTTTAAGGGTTTAGGGGCTTTAGGGGGTTTATTGGGTTTGGGGTTTTACGATGTTACGTTTTTAGGTTTCAGGGGTTGCTGCGGCTTACGTGCTTAGGGTTCAAGAGTTCGGGGGTGTGTCTGGAGGGTCAGGGGGCTTAGTAAGTGGGTTAAGAATGGGGATAACTAGGGTTACTATGTCAATGTGAGTTATAGAAGATACTAAGCTACTTTCTAAGTCTCCCTGACCCTCCAAATAGGGTTTTAGGTTAGGGGTCTGTTTTTACAACCGCCATGCGCCACCAACACTACTCCGGAAGTAGTTAAAAATCTCTGCTGAGCGCCTTGGCGCAGCAGCCAGCCGAGCAGGGAATTCAGGGTGCTTGATTATGTATTGTTTGAGGCCTAGAAGGTCCACCCTGGTTTGTGAGGAGTAGCCTGGTTGGGAGGGGACATCTTGCGCAAAAAATGTTAGTGCGCGTTGAGAAGTAAGACCTAACCAGTGTGGGGGTGGAGGGCCACGT